GCTAAAGTAGCTTTCAAGAAATCTGAATCAACACCTTTGGAGTATGGGTCCCTGGGAAAAAGAAAACAGAGGTTGAGAAAATTTTCTGAAGACAACGCTGTCAGATGGCATGAAGATCGGTGTGTGATATTGTCATGCTTTCAGTATTGTACATTCACCTGATGATATTGACGACTTAATCTAATTTAGTTTGCAATATCTATTCAACGTATGAAGCAATTACAAAACTTAACAGTTCACGCCTAAGATTTTCTTTCGGGGAAGAACATATTGAACAAGAGAAAATAGGTGTGCAACCATAATCAAGATAACACTTTACCAGCTTGAAGGGCCCCCAATGAAATTCTTAGCATCTAAATCTCTCTTGTTTAATTGTCCTTGATTTGTTGATCCAACATCACTCTCAATGCTCCTGCTTTGACCCGCGATATTCTCTTCAGAATTCAATTTCAATCTGTCAGAAAATTCATTGATACTCTTTTGATCATCAGATACGCCTTGGCTATCCTTCGGATTAGCCACAGCTCTACCAACATCCAAATTAACCGAAGGGTGATGCTTAATCTTCCGCAATTGTCTAGCTGAATTGTAAGTCTCAACCTAACATAAGATTGTGGTGGAAATGAGTAAAAGGGGAGGTTCAATATATAATATCCACAAAATATCAGAAGAACAATTAATTGTCTCCACCATATCGTTTAAGGAGAAAATCATATATTAGATTTCCCAAAATGAACTAATGTTAATGATGGTTTTTGCATTTTTCAATAAAAACACAACAGCATATCTAAAATAAAGAACAAAAAAATACGAAATAGTAGAAAGACTATCTCACACCATCAGGACATCGTTGAGGAGATGCTCGTACATCCCCCACAAAAGTAAGAATAGTATAAAGACTATCTTACACCATCAGGACATCGTGGAGGAGGTGCTCGTACATCCCCCTTCCCTGGGAATGTATTATTTAGAAGGTCGTCGCTACTTTGAGGAAGTCATAGATCGAGATAGACAGAGGAATCTTTAGAGGTTCATAGAAATCTTGGGAAAATGGCTTCAATTGCCCTCACATTTCAGTGCCTCAAGGCTCTAGGTGTTCTTATTTGGAGTGTCTAATAAGAGTTTTTTTTTTTTTTTTTTTTTTTTTTTTTTTTTTTTTTTTTTTTTTTTTTTTTTTTTTTTTTTTTTTTTTT